AATTGAAGATATCAACATGAAATGAACAAACCTAAAAGAGGTCTACACAAGGTACATATACACCAAGTATCAAAGCATTCAGGCTTGTAGTTTTCAAGAAGAAGTCGAAAAAATAAAACATTGACACGGACGACGACAGAAAACGACGAACAATCACTCATATGATAAGCTCCGCTCGACAAAGTCGACAGCCGAGCTAAAAAAACGCCTCGACAAACTAGAAATCCTACACATACAAAAATATAAATAAATTGAAGAATTATGAACTGAAAATGCATGCCAATGAACAAAAGGAAGAGACTTGCATGTAAGATGATGTAAGATGCAATGGATCTGATTGGCAGGCAGAACAATGGATCTGATTGTCAGGCAGACACAATGCATCTGATTGGCTGGCAGAAACAATGGATCTGATTGGCAGGCAGAAACAATGGATCTGATTGGCAGGCAGAAACAATGGATCCGATTGGCAGGCAGAAACTATAGATCTGATTAGCAGGCAGACACAAAGGATCTGATTGGCAGGCAGAAAAAATGGATCTGATTGGCAGACAGAAAAAATGGATCTGATTGGCAGGCAGAAACAATGGATCTGATTGGCAGGCAGAAACAATGGATCTGATTGGCAGGCAGAAACAAGAATTCCTGAGCATTAAATGAACTTACGACACACAAGTTCATCAGAACCATCAACACAATCATTGTACTGATCACACACCCAATGACTGGGGATGCATACATGAGAGTCACATTTGAAATCGGTAGGGTTGCAAGTTACTGCCCCTGTAAAACATTTACAAATGAACAAATAAACACAGAAAAGAAGTAAAATTAAATATAGTGTATTGAAGCAAAAAATACAATAAAAGAACTTATTAAGACAGAAACTTTGTGATAGAAATCATACAACCATATGCTTATAAACAAGGTACAGGACATTGCATATAACGCTCAAAAACAGAACACATATGCATGGCCTCAGAAACAGAACACATATGCATGGCCTTGGAAACAACAGAACACATATGCATGGCCTCGGGAACAGAACACATATGCATGGCCTCGAGAACAGAACACATATGCATGGCCTCGGAAACAACAGAACACATATGCATGGTCTCAGAAACAACAGAACACATATGCATGGCCTCGCAAACAACAGAACACATATGCATGGGCTCGCATAACATTAAAACACATATGCATGGCCTCGCAAACAACAGAACACATATGCATGGCCTTGGAAACAACAGAACACATATGCATGGCCTCGGGAACAGAACACATATGCATGGCCTTGGGAACAACAGAACACATATGCATGGTCTCAGAAACAACAGAACACATATGCATGGCCTCAGAAACAACAGAACACATATGCATGGCCTCAGAAACAACAGAATACATATGCATGGCCTCAGAAACAACAGAACACATATGCATGTCCTCGGAAACAACAGAACACATATGCATGACCTCGGAAACAACAGAACACATATGCATGGCCTCAGAAACAACAGAACACATATGCATGACCTCGGAAACAACAGAACACATATGCATGGCCTCGGAAACAACAGAACACATATGCATGGCCTCGGAAACAACAGA